CACATACGGACAACCCACTACGCCACACACCCCCTCATGATGTAACGACACTCTGAGCAGCCAATGAGAGCAAGAATATCAGATGGGTATTTGATTTCTATTTGCAATGTCAAAAGGCAACACTCTGTACTCTGTATGCATTTTTATAGAAAAAAAATCAGTAGTGAAAACAGAAAGTGACTAAGTTGACCATTATCTCCTTTTTGTTTTACTTCTGATCCTTTACATTTTATTAGCCAATATTGTCCATTTGTCTCCGTTTATATTATTGCTTAAATAAAAAATTAAAATTAAAATATAATTTAAAAAAAACTTGACTGAATTATAACATAAAATATTAAAAGTACGTATAATAATCAAAACAATTTAATGCAATAATATAGATTTAAGATACAACTTTTTAAATGAACAGAAACAGCTCATAATTGTGTACTTTTAATGAATTTCACTTTTAAATGCCTGACTTCAACTAGTTTTTAAAACACTATGGTACAGTAGAACTTCTTTCAAATAAATAAAGTATCTTACTATTTTTCCACTTCTGATGGAAAACGTACAAGTCCACTGTTCTATATTGCTAGTTTCATGCACCATTATGTTCTTATCACCACTCTTTTGTACGCGGACAGTGAACACTACACCTGAGTGTGATTGTTGAACATCTAATACATCACCAAACCGTCTGCATTAATATTCTGCTGCATCAGCCTCTCTCTCCTGGAGGATTAACCACTGGAGATGTTTCTCCCTCGTTCACCCACGGGAGCTTTAGTGCGGCTGGGCGCTGATGTTGGTCGATACGGGGGCTTACGGTTGAGCGTTAGGGGGTTACGGCTTAGCTTTGAAGCCTGCACACACACTATCTGACGTGCTGTGATTGGTTAGCATGTGCTGCTTGTGTTTCTCACTAGCAAAGTCTAATGCTGGAGGAGATTATTTATAGTGGAAACAAACATAAAGCAACTTCAAGGAAGGTTCAATTATCTGGTCCATTTCAATGAAACGCTACAGCGACTTCTCTCCTCTGCTGTCCTGCTCAGTAATGAGACCAGAAGGAACAGAGTGAACTCCAGTTCTGTGTGTTGCCCACTGTCACTGTGTGTTACTACTTAAATAAAAAGAATGAACATTAGCTGTGGCAGCTGGAGGTAAAAGTCATGTATTATACATCTAGTGTTGTGGTTATATATAAATGAACAGCATCACTACAGTCAGTCCATTACATCTAGTATAAACCAACTTAAAAGCTATATTTCCATCTTTGCTGTCTTTATTTGATTATAATGAAGGTTTGGGTGCTGACGTATAATTACTGAGAAAAGCTCAATCAATGGAGACATGTACAAAAGAGAAAAAACCCTGGGAAGACTGGCTGACCAATCAGAGTGGGTCTTTCTTTGAAGGTGAGCTTCAAGTGACACGGGTTAAAAGCAGCTTTTCAGAAAAAGGAGAAATACAGGTATACTGAGACTGTAGACATTTTCCTTTTGTTATTATTATCTGAATGTTAGGCTTAATAATAATATCAATTAGATTAAACTCTTGATTATCAGGTATTTTTNAATGTTTTATATCCATGTAACGGGAAGAAACGTATCTAACTCAACATTTTTTTTTTTTTTTCAAAAAAACCCCCCACAATGCTAACGCTGAGCCTCTGAACTAGCAACGAGCGAAATTCAGAGGCTCAGCGTTAGCATTGTGGGGGGTTTTTTTGAAAAAAAAAAAAAAATGTTGAGTTAGATACGTTTCTTCCCGTTACATGGATATAAAACATTCATAGTTTATTAAATGAACATGCCCTCAGACACTATTTCCTGCAAGATGTTGCAGGAGGGCCCCGGTACCGGGGTCTCTCGGGCTTAACAGGTTTTAACAGAAGTGAGTTTTAATTCTTAAAGATGTTGTCTGTTTTAAAGCAGAAAATACTCCCTTACTCCTTCCTTCTTTCCGTCACAATTAATTCAGGCTTTGTTTTTTTAGATCTGTCACATGAATTTGGCAAAGAGCTTTCCCCATTCACAAACATTGAACCGAATCTCCCAGACCGTCATTATAACGCTGAGTGGCTGTTGAACTGAATGGTGATTCATTTCAAACTGTTTTAGGATGAATGCACGCTAACTGCCAGAAGTACTTACGCTCATATGAAGTGGACGGCTCAAGATTATGAAGCATGATTACACAGCCGTGACATTCACGCTAATAGAAACAGACTACAAATGAAATTCGCCTCATATTTGGAAGCCAATGAGAGTGGAGAATCTGCACTTAAGCTCATCTAGGATCAAAATGACTCACACCTTGTGAGGAATTACATATCCAAATACATTTTTGTTATTTTGCATCAGTATCTTATTTTAACCTGAGGCGCTCGCGAGCCCTTTAAAGATCAATTGTGCTTTTGTGCCATTTCTCTGGCCACTGAATAACCTCTATTCGGCTTTTATTGCTCAAATGTTAAGATTGGTCACATTTCTTTGACTTTATCCTGTTTTTATTGTACCTAAGTTAAACGTTTTCAGTGGCTTTACAACCACAGCAAGAGACTTTTTAACAAAATAATTCCTTCAAAACCTTGTCAGAGATTTTACTGTCACATTCAAGTCTTTTGAGTTAATTTTCGAGCCAGAAGGGATACAATAATATTGTACATTACAACAAGTTATCCAATTTCATGCTGGATGAGCATCAGAGGGACAAGGGGTAATATAACCTGGAGTACACAGGAATAAATGAGCTATGACTAAATGGCACCTGTGTTCTCCTGAATTAAAGGTCACCTGTAGAGTTTTTGACATAAAGTCATATCTTTCCATGTTTTGATGAGTGGGTACTCATTATATCTTGCACTCAAGCAGGGACAGGGGTGACGTGACAAACTGCAGATACATTTGTGAATGTTGGTTTGTCTAAACGATTTAGGGTTTGGATCAGCTGCATAATGTCCATGTCTTCTTTTATCTGTTGTGATTTTTTACAGAACAGGAGGCTCCACTTTAAAGTTTTCACATTAAAAAACAAGTTAATTTCATGCTCCGTGAGTTGCCATGAAAAGCCCACTGGAGACGACAAAAGAAAGCTTTATCTCAAAACTACACCTGTATTCCTTCTTGAATTTGAAGGTCACCTGCGGATTCTTTTGATCGTAAGAAATGCTAAATCAGCAGATCTTGTGTTGTTTGAATCTTGTTTTCTGGAATGAAAATACGGACTACATGACAGAAATACTTAGTTACAAAGCCCTGTATTAAATTGTGTGTTAGCTATTTAATTATATTCATGGAAATGTACCTTAAAGTGAACCTATCATGCTATATTTTAATAATATAGTGTAGGACCATACCTATATAAGGCATATTTATATATGTATTCAAAATACCAAACAGATCATGCATTTTAGCCATGCCTCATTTCGCTCAATTTGCACTTTTTTAGCCCTGTTTTTGCATGGGCTGTTTCTGCGAGAACAGCACCATCTACAGGCCTGGCATATGTACTACAGCGTCTCCAGCGCTTTCGAACGGCAATGTCCGTGGCTGTCTCTTCCTGATTGGTGGAGTTGGCCCAATAGCCGTAGCGCCACTTCTGTGACGTCAGAGAAGTGTTCAAATCTGGATCAGTCTGTATCAGATCCGTTGCAGCCCCTTTTTAAGAGATTTGGGTATGGAGGAAAATAGAGAGGGTTGTGTTTTCTGACACTTGGTGAGTTCTCTGGAACACCGGGGACACATATTCATGTATAAAAGATGTACAAAAGTGCATTTTCCATGATAGGTCACCTTTAAGTTTTGATTAGTGGAAGTTGAAAATCTCTCTAAAGTCTAATTTTAACCATTTTATACAGAACAGCAACGATTATTTTTTTTCTATTTGGATCTATTTGATGATTCTTTTCTCTGTCTGTCAGGTAAGCTTTGTAACATCCCTTCTGTTTCAGGTGAACCTCAATGGAACAATAACAAACTGATGTCAACTATGCAGATTTTAAAACAATAAAAGTGCCTACGGTATAAAACATGCTTGGATGGTTAGACCTGCATTCTTTAATTGACTGGTATAAATACACACTGAAGAAGAAACATGTTTGTTTCCAATTAAAAAATAAATGTTGTTCCTAAAGTAATGAGCGGGTTCCTATAGAGATAAATGAAACTGCACACAATAAGTCACAATAGAGGAAACAAACACACATCCTCCACCAAGTGTGAAGCAGCAGCTGGAAGCAGAGGGTCAGGCAGGCCCAGGTGGCAGTGCTGTAAAGTGACAATGTGATTTAAGTGCTGTGTCGTGGTAAGGTCTGTTATCTGCCGCCGCTAACAGGGCCGCGGCGATACGGTCCGACAGCCAGCGACTGCAGCGCGGGAGGCAGCGCTGATAATGGATAGCTTCAGCCGAGCAACTTCCAGCCGCACTGCGCAATCACATGAATCATGAGTTTAAACTGCTGTCAGATACGCTCACATCCAGGGCTGTGGTCACTCTTTTTCCTCAGATGACTTTTTTTGTATTTCTTTTTCAGCCGTAGTAAGAGAGAAGGACGAGGAGCGAGAAATGTCCCTGGACGTCAACATGGTGATGGGGCTCACAGAGAAAGAGGGATATCTTGATGACCCAGCTGTCTCTTTGTTTGAGAAAACAAGGTTATTTCCAGCAAACACAGAATCGTGTCTATGAAATTAGGTTTGATCTATTGGGTTTTCAACAATTGGACGTGTAATACTTAAGTAAACACCTCCTCCAGATCTACTTCTGCTACACCCCTTAAAGAACTCACTAGACATTATTATTATTTTAAAGCAGTTTTCTATTCTACTTTCTTAAAATGTTCTTTTTAAATCCAAATGTAGCGCCTACAAAAAAAAGGATGGGGAAGAAATCACGTTTTTTTTCCCTTATATTTTCTTACCAGTGAGATAGAAAGCATTGCTGTATACACGTGGAAACAATTAATCTTTAAAAAAAAAAACGTTTTGTTTGTTAAGAAAAATAGAACCCTAAAATCGAAAATGCAGTTTATTTGATGGTGGATGTATTCTTTCATTTCTTGTTTAAATGTTAAGTACAATTATTTGAATTTGCATACTAATTAAAAACAGTACAGTGAGTCTATACTATGACGTTTTAAAAAAAAAAAAACACAACATACTCAAAGTCTGCTTAGAAATAGTGTGCAATGTGGCAAGTGGTTGTTTGCTAGTTTCGTCTTGGAACTCCAGCACTTCAGATCATCATAACTTCTCTACCTCCGAGCGTCCTTGCGTTTAATATCCTCAGCTCTGTCCAGAAATGCCCGATATATTTTTCATATCTGGTTTCAAATTACAGGCCGAGAGATGGTCACTCGGTTGACTGGAGAGTCAGTCAGCCGGAGCTGGTTTCTGCTGATCAGCAAGTTCAAGATGAGGCGGCGCGTCTCCTCGGCTGCTCGCGGCAATCTGGATAATTAGAGATGTGTTCGATCACTGCTCCTCCAAGCTGGTGATTATCCTCCCCCACCGAGAAGCGAGAAGTGACAGTAAGCCAGTGAACACACACACACACACAAAATAATGACCGCCTCGCTGCACATTATCCCGCTTATTACACGACCGCATGCTGAACAAACCAATGGCTTTACTCCCAATATAAATAGAAAATGATTGAATTGACTTCAAAATGATCGTATTGCTTCTCTTACTTAACATAAGTTGTCTTAGGACAAGTTTAAGTCAAGTGTTAAGACAAGTGTAAGTCAGGTCTAAGGACAAGTGTAGGTCAGTGTTAAGACAAGTTTTAGGACAACTTTAAATCAAGTCTAAAGGCCCAGATACACCGGCCCGAAATCGGCAGTAAATGGGAGTCGGGCCGAACATGAGCGCACAACCTATTCGGAGTGGTGTGCGCCGCACCGTCGGGTCTTTTCTGCCGACCTGACGCCTTTTCTTGCAGATTCAACAAGTTGAATCGGCGTCGGGAACACCACCGGAAGTCGGACAAAGGGATAACACTGATTGGCTGTTCAGCTAGCGAATCAATGCATGAGAAGCGTTAACGGAAGTGAGGGAGGTAAACAAATGATTTAAAATGGAAGATGGAACACACACGGACGGCTATTTCACCTCATCGGTTTNCGGTTGTTGCCTCTTTTGAATGATGAATACACACTACCGCCGCCTGCTGGTAAGGAGAGTTATTGCCACTCACGCATACGCGCAGTTCATACGTGCTCGGCTCGGATTTGCGGTGTGTTCCGGTGCGCGAAGTCGGCAAATACGCAGGAGAGTCCGGCGACGCAACA